GATAAGAGAGCATGGATACGATTGAAGCAAATTCTGAATTTGCTGGATGACCCCAAACTGCATTTACAAAGAAATCCTTCAATGGCCTACAGCAATATTCCTCTTCACACACCTCAGCAAGGTCAGAGAGAATGCTTTACCAGCATGTGGAAGAAAGGGGAGGCGAGGTGGCTGTGTAGTCATGCCTGGGCCATTGCAGTCTCACCAAGCACATACATCCTATCTGAGGGTGGTGGTGTTGAAGGGGACCACGGTCATATTATAATGTATGTCTATTATAATATGAAACAAAATGTTAACACTGGTTGTCTCTGGGTCTCTCCTGTTTTCCTTTTACTTAACTATCATTTTCTGATATTTCTGCAAATGCCTGGCTTTGGTAAAAGAAAAAAAATTCAAATGAAAATGTGCTCCTTTTATATTAGCATGTCTGTGTAATGAATGTATAACAACCATTCATTAATTTGCGGAGGCCCTCAAGATACTTAAATCTAGAAATGGAAATTAAAGTGGCATACAAACAAACATTATGCATGTTTGAAGGTGGCGAATGCCATGTATCCATATAAAACACATCATCTTGTGGCATTATTCTGGCCCAAAGTTTCATGCAAAGGAGTATCAGACAACCATCCTATTAGAGCATTCTTTTTCCCTGTGAAAGCGTATTTTCCCAAAACAAGTGAGAAAAGAAACTCTTTCCTACAGAAGGAAGCCCCTTAGAAGTCTGCTCAGGTAGTGAATTTGCAAATTGTCATTATTTTCTCCTTCACCTCTTTAGGCAAGGCCAGCCTAACCTCCAGAAGATGATCAGATAGCCTTCTGTCATCAGCTTCAGAGAAAGGGAGTGCAGAGCCCTAGGACTGGGAGGAGATGAATCATTAACTTCCCCAAAGGCGTTCTTGGCATTCCACTGGCAAGTACTCTGGCCCCCTGCAGCAGTGCCAACTCTGTGGCCATCAAGGCCTGAGGCATCAATGATTAACTGGGGACGCTGCAAGTGTTCCCGACCTCAGGGACATAGGTCCTTCTTCCCCTTTCCATTTTCCTTTTCCTTTTATTTTCTACATACATTTACATTTCCCTCCACCCCACACCACCAAATTTACCTCCTAAGTGCCCTTACAGACCAAAATAAATATCCAGGTATTTTTAAATATGCTGAAACTGGCACCACTTAGGAAGCTGCAGTTTGCAATGGACTTCTGCACAGCCTGAGTCTGAAGCAAATGCAGGAATTTCTGTGACCTTTTTCCATTCCAAGGTCTGAATGATTTGCAGCTCCAATTCTTATCCTCCCAATATGGAAAAACTGGTTCAGCCACTACCTAACTGTACCTAAAAATTATTCAACTTCAAGTATTTCTTATTGTCTGCCCACTATCCTGGGCTTCTAGGTGGGGAAAGAAGAGAAGCCTGAATGAACATCTCTGTGTGCGTGACAATGGCCCTGCCCTCCCTGGACGCCTTATCTGCCTTCATCATGGGCCTTCAGCCAAGAAGCCACAGCTGGGATTCAGCCTAGTCTAAAACCACAATAAAAACCCAGTGATACTTTAGTTCTCAGAGGGCTTCCACATACAGAATCTTACTTGATTCTTGTGACACAATAAGGGAGGTGTCCTGGGTCGGATTCCCCAGAAGCAGACCCTGAGATAAGGATTCAGGAGCCCTACCTGTGACCCCTTAGCCGACACTCACAGCAGCTGGGCATGGGTGGAGCAGCCTGGTGAAGGGCGTCTGGGTGGGGCACCAACAGTGTCCGTGACAGGATGCAAA